CCCCCCCCCCCTCCCGGTTCTGTAGTCAAGACCAGGGGCGTGAGGACACAGGATGACGGATAAGTCGTCATTCATAGCGACTGTCAGTCTCTTGTTCGCCAGGACGATAAACAACACTCAGCTTTCAAGATGGGCCTAGGCGACTTGTTCTCCAAATTGTTACTCTTTCTGAACCAAATGCCCATTCTGCATTTACATTTTTAGGCCGTAGAAGACGCGATCGGTAAAGCGCTGAGAGTCATCAGCCTAGCAGTTCTCCATTACGAACCGCCGAGAGGACGAAGCGAGTAGAGGAGGACTTGTCCACGCCGGCAGCCCGGCGGTCGAAACAAATAGCCAGCGCTTGAGGCCATCGCTCTTCTTCCACACGAACAGCCAGTCAAGAGCCACGAAGCTAAGAAATTGAGGGGACAAGACGAAAAAGGGAATTACTCAACGTCCGCTTCACAGAGCCCGCTACCAATCTTTCATTTTGTTCCTAGAATCCAGTTGCCGGAGAACATCCCGACATAGAGCGACACTAGAGCGGGATGAGCCCAACTATAGTGACAGGCACGCGTTCGAGCCGCTCAGACCGTGCAGTTCGCCACCCAAAGATTTCCGTGAGCCTACATACTACCCCTCTGAGAAAATCACCAGATCCCAAGAATCCCATCCGTCGCGGTCCACTCCGACGTATTCCGGCAAGTCCTTCTAATACGGAGTCAGTATGCGTACCGTAAGGAGACAAGGATGCGAACGTACGTCTGCAAAGTAGTCTTCTACGACGGCACGGATTTCTCCGAGGATCTTGAGGAGGGCTGATTCACCGCCGGAATAGGTGCGAGGCACGGACGTGAAGGAAACGCGACGGGCACAACCGGTGGCTGTTTCGTTGCGGAACGAACCCCCATTGACCTCATCACCTCCCTTCGTGAGACGGTGGATGTAGAGCAGACACTCATCCGAAACGACAGCAGCTCGATCACTATATTCGATAGGAGCGACGGGGGCGTCTGAACAAGGTTAATATCCGGCATATGTAGACTTCGCACCCTCGTTCTCACCTTCATCCTTATCTACACTACCAACAACTTCATGTCGGCTATGTCTCACACAGAAGAGGTGATCGATGTCTCTCCACCGTAGGCGTAGTGGGCATGATATATACTCATACTCCGAATTCAGTCTCCATTTGTTCTCCGTAGCGGCCCCCATCCGTAGCTCAGTGGGAAAACTCGCCGACGGGAACGGACAGGTCAGGTCCAAAGGATCGACACGGAGTGACGCGGCGTATTTCACAAGCCTGTAGGTCTCAGGTAATTTCTCAGGCCTGAAGACCTCGTTTCCCAGCTGCCTGTAGTACTCCATTGGCAGACCGATCCGTGTCAGAAGTGCCCGGCGCGCAAGATCCGCCTTCGTGTAGTAGGGAGCTAGGTGGCGCATTTTCTCCAGGAACTGACTTGATGTCTCCCGTCCCCTAGTAGGTGCAATAGCTTCCAGTTGCCGCTTTAATCTCCTTAGGCAAGTCATGATGGTCTCGGACCATATGTGAAACATCACCGTCGTTGGCCGGTCCTCAATGTACCACAGCTCGGCATTTTGATCCTTCCCATCATTCGCGAGGCGATTCCGGTATTCGATATAAGCGCTCGACGTGTAGCATAATTCAAAGGTGTCGCCTCGAAATAGGTTTTCCAAAATTTCGGGACTCGAAGCGCATTCGAACAATAGGTGTTCAGTCACCCCGCGACAGATTTGCCCGAGCGCAGGCTCATACTCGCTAAGCTTTTCCAGCCTATTGAGTATGGATTGGTATGCGTTGGTTTCAATACGCGTCTCGCCGATATCGCGCGGGCCCCAATAGCGTGCCACGAAGTTCGCGATTTCCTGGATCGGTTCTTCGCCCGGCTCTATACGTCCATCATCGTCTGGCTTGTTATAGTCTAACTTCCCACATTGAAGTAGATCCTTAGCCAGCTCTGTCGAAGATGAGGTCAAGGCTCTAAGTTCACCGGGACCGCCGATATCCAGACTTGGGCATAACTCCTGACATTGTCTGAAGATATTCAATATGCTGTTTTGGGAAAAGAAGTCATCATAGTCTGGGGGACTTCGTTGGGATGACATTATCAGGTAGTGGTGCACTGGGCAAAAGAGGTCGTGGAAATTGAAATTTTTTGTCTATTGTACGGGGGAGGGCAAATGTTAAGATACTGCTGGACCGAAATCCATGTGGGAGATGTCTCTCATATCCGGTTCTTATGTATTCCTCAATAATAGAATTTTGGAAGCGGTTGAACTAACCTAAACGGGACTTCGGAACAAATCAACTAACCTAAATGGGACTTCGGAACAAATCAACTATTCCGTGACAAGGCCCATTTCTTTGACCGCCTAAGCATTGTCTTTCCGCTGCCAGTCGACACAACAACGGCCACCAGCGACTGTCCTTGAAGAACTACTATTAGGGCTTTATCTTGCTCCCGAGATCGAAACCCTGGTCCCTACAGCGCTATTACCGGAGAGACGATGGAGGCCTTCTTCGATCTGCCAGAGAGAAGTGTCGATCGTGGTGAAAGCCGCGGGGGAAGAAGAAGAAGAAGAAGAAGAAGAAGCAACAGCCGCTCCCTCAGAGTCCGGTCGGTGTCAAACAGAGATGCCAGCGCGGCGGATGAGATGGCATTTCCTATGATTCCCGCCTCCCTCGTTTACCTAGATCTATGGGAAGAGAGAGCCTGGACAACAAGAACAGAAAAGCCTCCAACCATTCACCGTGGCCCTTTCTTCGCGGTCACGCAAAGCACCTAGGGCTTCACGAAAGGTACTGGACTCTGCATCCTTCCCCCTCCGTAAAGATTTCTGGCAGCAATTCCTCAGGATTGAGTGTCTCACCGTATGATAAAGGGATCTAACACCAACGGGAGTTGAAATCACTCGCGATGACTGTGTTCATACCGCCAAACCTCGTCCTGCTCTATTCCCTAAGATCTCCCTCGAGTCGCGTTGGGCAAGAAGAAGAAGATCGTCTTGTCGATCCCGTCGGTCGACGGGAGCCACACGGGGGAAAATATTGCACGGGGAGTCGCCGACATCATCACAGAGTTCGATCTTGGAAACTGGGTGGGCTACTTTGTTCTGGATAACGCAGCGAACAACGACAAGGCCGTGGAGACCTTAGGCGGCGTCTTCGGCTTCGATCCCACCAAACGCCGGCTCCGGTGTGCCGTTCACATCGTAAATCTGGTGGCCATGCAGGTTATGTACGGCAAAGACCTGGAGGCTTTTGACGCCGACAATGCGGATGTCCGGCACCTCCGTGAAGATCTGGAGCGATGGCGGCGTCGAGGCGCTCTGGGCAGGCTGCCCAATATCATTATGTGGATTACGGACCGATACGCGGATGGGAGTCGCGCGAAAGAGTTTCGAGCGCTGCAAACTGAGCACCACAACAGCCTTCTTGACGAAGAGGAACGCCGCCGCCCTCCTTCCGAGCTGAAAAGACCCAATGACACGCGGTGGAACTCACACTATTACGCCTTCGAGACGGCGTGTCAGAACCGAGCGGCCATCGACGCGTACGCCGACAAGGAGGAGAGAACGTTTAAGGCCCGACTGGAGCAGATCGTCCAGAAGAACAAACGAATAGACCCACTCAAGCCCATTGAGACCCCCTCGACGCCTACCATCGTGGAGGATAAGCTCTCGGCCGACGACTGGATCACCATCACCCGATACATGCAGAGTTTGAAACCATTGATGCTGGTCACCAAGAAGCTGGAGGGATACCCCGAGGACGGGCGGAACGGGTGCATATGGGAGGTCCTACCTTGCTACGAGTTCCTCCTCGCCCACCTCGAGCGTCTGGCCGAGCATTACCGGCACGACCCAGACGACGATCTCAGACTGAATATCCAGCTCGGATGGCAGAAGCTGGACCAGTATTATCGGAAGCTCGACGATACCGAGGTGTACGTGGCCGCGGTGGCGCTCCATCCCAAGTATCGGCTGCTCAAGATCCGACAGATGTGGGCCGACCGGGAAGAGGATGGCTGGGTGGCCACGGCGGAGGGGCAACTGAAAGACCTCTGGGCCAAATATAAAGATCTGCCACTACCGGAACAGTCACCTCAGCAGCCGCCCGACGATGATATTCTCGACGAGACCCTCAATCCTACCACGCCGCCTTCCGCAGAAGATCTGTTTGGTTCAATGGAAATTGTTACACTGGAAACCGGTCCGGCCACAGCCCCCACCGCCGGATGAAATGGACGAGTTTTTCAAGGCACGGTGGACTCCTCCTTCGACAAGGTTAGGGATCCGGTCCGTTTTTGGGTGCTTAATGGGCTGCGATGGCCACGGCTAAAACGGATGGAGCTTGAAATCTACGGGATTCACCCCACGGAGGCGGACACCGAGCGGCAATACAGTAGGTGTGGCGATATGGTGTCGAAAAAACGAAACCGGTTGTCGGCAAATACGATTGGGGCGGCCCAGTGCCTTCGGCAATGGGATGAGGACGAAATCATTGATTGGAGGTAACGGTGTTATTGCTTCTTTATTGTTCGTAATAATGTAGGACGGGCCCCATATATCTTTCACTCCATGGACCGTATGAAGTAGGCGGTCCAGTCCACAGGTTCCAATTGGACAGGCGGTCCAGTTCGAGGCCGTGGACTGGACCGAACCGCCTATTCGGAACACTGATTGTGGAAGCGTTAGTCGAATCGAATCATGTCATTGAAGATTTTCAATATCCGAGGATCAATACTATTCAAACCCCAAAATACAAACGTTGCATGAGATGCCGCTCCGTTCGTGGCAGCCTTGACTTCTGATTCTAGCTCTTCATTACCGGTTTGTTCGACGCGTCGGAGGCTCTCCTATTTCGGCATTGGCCAGTGATGGTTATGAACTTGGCTCTCGGATGTTGGCATCGACGTCGACCGGCTTAAACGTGCTCGTCCCAATTAAACAGCTCCTGAAATGTGCTCCATCTGTTGAACATGGTCGTCGACGCTCGCGGTCCATCTTTGGCCCCCTGGGGAAGGCTTTACACTGCAGCT